CAAACACAAATATAAACACTAACACAAATACAAACGCACACACACACACACTCAAAACTATATACACACATACAACCATATATACACAAAGTACCTACACCGACATCTGTATTTATCTTTTCATCCTTCTTTCCTCCTCCTCGGCCTCATTCTGTTCCAGGTGAAGCCAGATTGGAAAATCATGGAAACCTTCGTGGGCGGAACCCTCCAGAGGTCCTTCCTTGTGGACAGTCTGGAGATGTCTCACAAGATCAGCATTTCCATAGCCGAGGTCACGGACGTCATGCAAATCTTCGACGCCATAACATACTATAAAGGTCACTGATCCGTTTGTTTGTTCTAGTAGTAGAGACGATTTTTTTGTGGTTAAGGAAATATCTGTCATTGTTTTTTTTCTGTGTATGTAAATTAATTTTCATATTTTCCTTCAACGTCTCAGGAGCCTCTGTTGTCCGGATGCTGCTACATTGCCTCGGGGAGGAAACCTTCAGAAGAGGACTGAACAACTACTTAAAAGCCTTGTATATGTTCATAGTTTTATAGCTTTGAAACTCAAAATCACTCTTATAGGCATCATAATATGGTTATGGATATAACCGTGGAATTCATTTGATTTTTACTATGGTCTTTTATTTTCTATATCTTTAATTTACTGGATTCTTCCCTCAGCAAGTACAGCAATGCAGTTCAAGATGATCTCTGGGAATACCTGACGGTCGCCGCCCACCAGGACAAAGCTCTGGCAAAGGACCTCTCTGTCAAGATGATCATGGACACGTGGACGCTGCAGAAGGGCTTCCCCGTCATCGAGGTGATGCGGAACGCTGAGGGCGCCATTCTCACTCAGGTGAGAATCACGTCTAATAACAGGGACAGATCTTCATATAAATCCTATCAGTTCAACATATTCTGAGAGTAAACATCACTTTCCTTTTCAGAAAAGATTTCGGTCTGAAAAAAACATCCTCAGAGATTCACACGACTACAGGTGGATGGTTCCCCTGACGTACACGACTCAGGGCGAGGCCAACTTCACCCAGACTCAGGCCATGGTGTGGATGAAGGACTGCGAGGGGCGTATAAACCTCACCTCTCTTCCCCCGAAAGACGAGTGGGTTATCTTCAACCTGCAGGAGACGGGCTACTACAGAGTCAACTACGACAACCACAACTGGAACCTACTCATCCAGCAGCTGAAGGACGACCACGAAGTCATCCACGTCATCAACCGAGCACAGATCATTGATGATGCCAATGCTCTGGCAGAAGTAGGTTCGTTCATACTTTTGTATTTGGATGAACAGGTAATATTTGCTTGCATATGCGTGTAATTGTAAATATATCAATACGCAAGTAATGAGAGACATAATATGCCTCAGGTCACCTCGACTACAAGATCCCCATGAATATACTTGCATACTTGCGGAAGGAAAGCGACTACCTACCGTGGGCTGTGGCCATTAACATTTTCAGTTCCTTGAAGAGTTTGTTTAATAACAGACAAGGATATGGCGCTCTTAAGGTACAGTTCTGAGCTGAAATGTTTGTACAAGCGCCGACTAAAAAAGAAATTATGTGAATAATTGAGACGTAAATATTCTCATATATGTATCTGCGTTCCTGCATGTTCTCTCATGTAGATATAGATCAGAAAAAGAGGACACATATAAATATAAATGCAAACATATATGTGTATATATGTATATTTACACACACACACACACACACACACATATATATATATATGTGTACATATATACATATACATGTATATATAGCTAGATATAGCTAGGTATGAGTATAAACTGCATCCAGAAATGGGATTATGGAGCACTTGTCAGGGTGCTACCTAGGCTTTGAAGACATGTAGCTTGGTCCTTCTGCATAGGTACCGACATCTCCAAATGCTCTTGTTGATCGAGTTCATGGCTCCTGCTGCCAGACCAATCCATCTACTGACTTCTTGGACTATGCTATGAAGGTATGCAAAGCTCTCTGTAACTTCAACGTCCTCACTGCAACCATGAATCAACTGAACGGGTTCCTCTAACAGACCCCCAAAGATCTTAATCTTGGTCTTGGTCCAGGAGACCTCTAGGCCCAAGGGCTTCACCTCATTGCTAAATGAGGCGAATCAAGAGCCGCCACAAGTGATTCCAGAGACTCAGAATAGCAATATCGTCGGCAAAGTCAAAGTCTGTGACCTTGATATATCAGTACCGGTATATAGGCTTGCTATTAGGCTGGAATTCCCCTAAGTCTCAGAATCTCCCATAGTGATACTTGATGCATCGAGTCAAATGCCTTTTTGAGGTCGATGTAGACTGCAAGCAACCCACGACTAAACTCACAATGGCGTTCCACAATTACTCGAAGTGCTAGGACACAGTTTATTGTGAACTTGCGAAGAGTGAATCCAGACTGCTCCGGTCTCTAGTGCCTTAGTAGGTGGACACAGAACCTTTCTTGGTATACTGTGTAGTGTGATGCCACGGTAGTTGCTACAATCTCAAAGATCCCCTTTCCACTTACAGAAAGGGATGACCACGCCCCTCAACAGGTCAGAGGGGATGGAACCAGACTGCCAGATGGCAGTCAAGACTGCATGCATAGGTTCACGCCCAGCCTTTAGCAGTTCAACAGGGATATCACATATGTCTGCGCCTTTCCCACCCTTCAGCTTAGAGTCACCATCCTAACCTCAGTTAGGCTAGGAGGTTCCTCACTGATGGGTGGGTCCAGCACAGGTAATGTGATACTACTTGCATCCAAACTAACAGTTTGGAGGGTCTACTTGGCATAGCTACTCAAATATGTACACGAATCCTAACCTCTATCCATCCACTGAGTGGACTGCAGTAATTTATGGCCTTCAGCATCCTCAGCAAGGTTCCTGATGAATTTAACCCTTCTCAGTAATGTGTCCGAGCCATATGCATCAAAGAAAGGCGCAAGTCCCGATTGCCATTCAGCTAAGTGAGATGAAATTCTGCCTATGCTGCTTCGAGTGTTTCACACTTGAAGGATTCCCACAGAACAACTAGGTCCATCAAGTTTTCAAATTCTGTGTATCAGTCAAAGACACTACCAGCCTATGGTCAGTGCCACAGAACTTGGCACTCCAGTAAACGAGTGCTGACAAGAATGTGGTTGATCTCCTTGGCCACAATATCCATATCACTTTATCATGTCCAGTGGTGTGGATTGGAGTGCTGATACCAGGAGCCAGAAATCCTCAATCTCTGTGACCTAGCAAAGTCCATGAGAAGGAGGCTTAGGATGTATGTATGTATACAATAATATATATATGTATATATGTATGTATACAATAATATATATATATATATATATATATATATATATATATATATATATATATATATATATATACATATATGTGTGTGTGTGTGTGTGTGTGTGTGTGTACATTGTTTTATCTATCTGTCTATCTATATACACATGGGTTGACAGGGACATATTGATATAGATTCTTAAAGCAACACTTTCCAGCAATTTATTCTGGAGCTGGTGCTGACGCTGTACAACGAACTGGGCTTCCACGGCAGCGTCGAATCCCCTTTCGTGAGTCAGAAGAAGCGGAAGATAGCCGTGAGCTGGGCGTGCGCTCTGGGCCACAAAGACTGCCTACATCGCGCGAGAAAGTTCTATAGGCAGTGGATGTTAGACCCCGCGCATGCCAGGCAGGTCCTTCACAATGCGCGATAGTCTGTATTCATATACTGAGATTGTGTCCGAATTCCATTATTTTTTTCTAATTTTATTCGTAAACATACACACCAACAACAGCGGCCATTTAATACACTTACGCACTCCATACAGGAAAACGGCACCTAGCCTGAGGCCCATAGTTCTCTGCCACGGCATCGCTGAGGGAGGCGAAGCCGAGTGGAACTTCGCGTGGAACAGGTACCTGAACGAGACAGATCAGGCCGAGATATATCTGCTCTTGTCCATCATGGCTTGCAGCAAAGACGCCGAAATACTGAGGAGGTATGGCTAGGGAGAAATAGAGATTGATTGTTTGGTTATATACACAGAAATTTAGGCATATAGATGGATAGGTAGGTAGGTAGATTGGTTGGCATAGAGATATATAAATAAGTAGATAGATAAATAAGTGATTATATAGTTATGCATATAGACAGTATATAGATAGATATATACACAGACATTTAGATAGATAGATAAATAGAAACATATACATATAGACAGATATACAGATAGACAGGTAGATATATAGAGATAGATATATAGAGAGACTGAGATAGTGATAGATAAAGAGATACATAGATAAAGAGATAGACAGACAAAGAGATGTAGAGGCAATAAAAATATAACAAGAGATAGATATAGATAGGTAAAGATAAATATACAGATAGGTAGACACAAATAGATACCTAGACAGACAGAAAGAGGTCACGTTTTCTGTTAACCGAACACCATCCTGTACCAGGTACCTGGAGATGGCTGTTGATCCCGAAACCGACGTCAAGACGATCGACCTGACGACTGTGTTCATCAGCGTCGGGCAGAACGAGCTGGGTCGCCGTCTAGTTTGGAATTACTTCACGGAGCACTGGAATGACCTCTTCTCCCCGTAGGTTATTTTACACTTTTATGAATATGTCTGGATGCAGTCACACCCCCTGGGACGGATTTAACTTGTGACTGAAATGGAATGAAATGACTCACAAGTAATCTTTATAGAGATGCTAGTGTTCACAAGACTGACGTGTTTCATTTCTTACTGACAGCTGGAAGGTTTTGAGAGGAGAGGTGTTGACGCGGTTGACATACTTCTTCAGTACGAGGCGGGAACTGGGGGATGTAAGTTTGCATTGCACGTTTAATGCATCATACTGCCATTGCATACAGTTATATATACACATTGGCATACAAACTGTATGAAAAGAATGAGGGAAATTCAGACATGCTGCACAGATTTTTCAAAGTGTTTTACGACTTATTAATTCAAATGTATTATACATTCCTATTATTAGATGGAGCTGTTCCTGAACAACGAGAAAACAGACAAAACGGACATCGAGTTGCAAGTACGACATGCGCTGAAGAGGGCAAGACACAACCTGGCGTGGATGGAGGCCAACTATGGCGTTATAACGAGATGGCTGGAGGAGAACGGCTACTCCTCCAAATCGCTCTGAGATTGATATTTTACAGGATGATTTTGAAGACAATAATCCCACCGAAGTCAGTACCATGGCATGTAACTCGGACACGTTGGAAATTCTTACCATTCCGTCATGACTGCCAGAGTGTATCATATATTAAGCATATAGACTAATACAAATCTAAAAGATGTTTTTGTTGACTTTATACATTGTTATTATTGTTAACTTTCTGCTATCATATTTGTAGATGGTATTCCATAATTGTTCTATGGCTCTCACTTTGTCCACCTTGATTAATTGAATATTTGTATTGATAATCTTCAAAATTTTATCGAGGCATCATTGTAACATGTATTTATTTCTACAGTAATCACCGTTTAGACAGTCAAGTAATAAGCTTACTAAAATCGGTTCTCAGGTCAAGTTATTATTTTCTTTTTATTTGCAGACAGTGAGATATAAAGAAAATACACGTTGACTATTCACTATTGTTTTGTTAACATTTGCCCATGATATATATATATATTGTGTGTGTGTGCGTGCGCGTGTGTATATGTATGTGCGTGTGTATCTACCGAAACTTGTTGTGCTTCTATTTTTCTTGAGGGCTATCAGGCAAAATTATTTTTAAACACCTAAACAGCAGTGTCATTGTGCTTGCATTATTCACATGTCATCTGGTCGAAAAAAAGACATATGACACTAATCATTTCAAAGACAAGACCAGGGCCTATGATAAAACTGATATAATCAGTAAGAGCTATTCTCTGGAAAGTGCTATTTGATCAACAAGTTGCGGTTTTCGTGCAACAAAGTAAGTAACGGGTAAGATTATGCGATTTATCCTTGTACACTTTCCAGTAGTGCAACAGAATTGGTTTTGCCTTCAAAACTGCATCCTGTATATATCGTATACAGTACCGATATCCTATGCGTAGCCTGAGACGGTCCATTATAGGCTTTGTTGGGTTTGTGTTTATCCGAAGGTCCATCAGTATTTTCATAATGCCAAATTTTCTTCGATTTTAAGTGGTCCATCCCTGAACCTCATGATCTTCAAGTCGGCTGATAACTATTCCTTTTTTCATTTGATTGAATTATAATGGAGGGGAGAAAGTTACATATACTACATCGAGGTAAGTCATGGTGACGTGTAATGCGTGATGTAAGAACTGAGAAAGAAAATGACATCCAGTGCAAATGCCATCTGAACAGTTGTAAATAACCTGACATGTCCTCTATTATGAAGAAGCGAAGTATCTGAATTAAGGCTAAAAACATTCTATGTATTACAGCTTTTGGTCTTTGGCTTCACTTTAGAGACATTTACTTTCACTTAAAGAAGGAGACACACTCACACGCATGTATGTAGACCTACCCGCTCTCCCTCGCTCTCTCTTTCTTACACTTTGACATTCGAAAGTATTTTTTCCAAGGATGAACATAACGCACATAACCAGTATCAGTCACTTCAAACTCTCCACTTTCCTGTGTTACCGCTTGTGAGTTCATGATCTTTGTGCTTATTAATTAACTACTTAGATATCACTGATTCTTTGGAGAGTACCAAAACTTTATGTAGAGAGAAGCTTTATCTTTTGTTGTAACATCGAATCTTTTACGGGTTACAGGCAGGACTAATAGTTTCCATTATCCCAGGGTAAATCAACTAAAGAAGTCTTGTTATGATCATCGATTAAGTAGACACACACACACACACACACACACACACACACATATACACACACACACACACACACACACACACACACACACACACACACACACACACACACACATATATATATATATATATATATATATATATATATATATATATATATATATATGTGGTATCTATATCTGTATCTATCTATCTGTCCATCTATACACACACACACACACACACACACACACACACAAACACACACACACACACACACACACATATATATATATATATATATATATATATATATATATATATATATATATATATATATTATATATATATATTTGTGTGTGTATACATATACATGTACACACACACACACACACACACACACACACACACACACACACACACACATACACAGATTCACACACACACACCTATATATATGTGTGTTATGTGTATATACATGTACACACACACACACACACACAAACACACATGGATATATGTATATATACATACATATATCTATATCTATCTGTCTATTTATCTGTCTATCTATCTATATATATCTATTCATCTATCTATCCATATATATCTATTCATCTATCTATATATATCTATTCATCTATCTATCTATATATATCTATTCATCTATCTATTTATTTGTTTATCTATCTATCTATCTATTTATCTATCTATCTATCTATCTATTTATCTATCTATCTATCTATCTATCTACCTATCTATGAAGTGTAGTAATATGTATATGGAATACACACTCTAGACACTTCAGCAGGAAGCGAAGGACAGCGCATCCTAACGAGGCGGCGGAAGCAGAGGGCGTCACCGCGACGACTGCTGTTCCCTCCTTGCATGTCTTACGCAGCGTCCGCTTTTTACTAATGGCGTATTTAGCTACAATCTTCATCTGGTAGATTTATCAGACACGTTTATTTATATGATTCTTACACAGTATTCAAAACTTGAAACATTTATAGTGTATTTATCTGTTTATTATCATCCTTTATATATCAGGCATGAGAATCATTGCTTTCCTGATTTTTTTCCAATTTAAATTCGCTGTCCATTTATCATGCACACTTCTGATCCGGTCACGTGGGTATCTCTGGCTGTCATAAAGAACGAGGAATAAATTGAATTCAGCGTAAATGGCTTTCCTTTGTTATTGGATGAGGTAAAGTAATAGCCTTAACAAAAAACAAACCAAATAAAACAAAACAAAAAACAAGTCTTCGTCAATAATAATGATATCAAGCATTTTTTTAACCTAATTATCAGTTATTTAAAGAAAGTTTGGGACACGGAGAAATATGGTCAACCTCCCCCCCCCCCTCCCGATGTGAAACCTAATAAAAAGCTAAGATAGATAGATAAATTGATAGATAAGAGAGAGAGAGAGAGAGAGAGAGAGAGAGAGAGAGAGAGAGAGAGAGAGAGAGAGTGAGAGTGAGAGTGAGAGTGAGAGAGAAGGAGAGATAGATAGATAGAGATAGAGATAGATAGAAAATAGATAGTGAGAGAGAAGGGGAGATAGATAGATAGAGAGAGAAGGAGAGCTAGATAGAGAGAGAAGGAGATAAATAGATAGAGAAAGAGAGGTAGATAGAGAGAGAGAGAGAGAGAGAGAGAGAGAGAGAGAGAGAGAGAGAGAGAGAGAGAGAGAGAGAGAGAAAGAGATAGAGAGAAAGAGAGAGAGAGAGAGAAAGACAGTGAGAGAGAGAGAAGATAGATATATAGATAAATAGATAGATAGAGAAGGAGAGAGGGAGAGAGAGAGAGAGAGAGAGGGGAATATAACGAGAATAAAATTATGTAACCAAAGAATGTAATTCCCCGGCCTCCTCCTTTCCATTCCTTATCAGCTGATTGTCCTGGGCCTCTCATTGTCCGATTCTTAGCACACACCTTCACATTGTTAATTAACTCACGTTTTTGTCAATCTCCTTTCATTGCATTAACACGTATTCATCTAACAGATGTACTTATCACTCTAAAAATACCCCTATTTAAATTCTAATAAAAGCAGTCGGGCACCAATAAAAACAGGAAAAATAAAATAAATTCAAACTTCGCGGCAAGAGTGAGAAGCCCAACCACACAACAGGTTTCTTCGGCGGTTCAACTCCATTTAAAGCGCTGTGTCGTTCGTTGCTCGGGCAGGTAAGGTTCTCTCTGTTGCGTCTCTGTTATGTTGTATTTTTTTTCTGTTGCGTCTCTGTTATGTTGTCTTTTTTTCTGTTGCGTCTCTGTTATGTTGTATTTTTTTCTGTTGCGTCTCTGTTATGTTGTCTTTTTTTGTTGGATGTTGGTGTATGTATTAGAAGAGGCGGAGAAAAATTGTGAATTGTGGAATTGTTGAAGGTTTGTTTAAGTGAGATCTGTTTGTTTTGGAATATTTTTTCTTTTCTTATTTTTTTTTCCGGGATGGTGTGCTCTGATGTATAGTATTTTTTCCGAAGTTGTTGGTTTCTTCTGTGCATTATCATTAGAATACAAAAGAGAAACTTGCACGTGATATATGTTTTATATTACGAGGTGCATTTAGAAGTCTATGATCAGATGACGTTGGAAAATGTTCTTTTTTTTACTTTAGTTTCATTTTTTTTCTTCACTTGAGCTTGACTATCGTACAGGCAAATACTTTCCTCGTGATATATAATCTTTTATATATTCTAACTCGTTTTCTATTCGCCTTTAAGACCACTATCGTGATTTTCTCTTTTGTTAATGAAAATAAAGATGGATGCAATTTTGAAATAAAGCACAACAGAGACTGATGAAAAGGCATTCAAACAAAGACAAGAAATACATGACAGATGCATAATTACAAAGACATTTGTTGTCAATATAAATAAAAAGAAAATGCTATTGTCGTTCAGAGATTTCAACTCTGCGTGTTATATGAATCAAAATGTCATAGTAGCAAGTATCGTTAACATTTTTTTTTTTGTAGCTGGTAAGGATAAGTTTATTTTTTTTTTTCTTTCTCAATGGCGACGATAATGACAGCAGTGTTGATAGTGATAATGATAATACTGATACTCGTAATGAGGATACTACTGGTACTGAACAATTATAACAATTATAATTAATAATGGCAACAATGATAACAATAAAAATAGTGATGATGATAATAGCAATATTAGTATTAATACGTATACGAATAACGATAATATTGATATCATTAACAACAAAAGCAACTGTAACAACAACACTAATAATAATGTGAACTGCGTAGAATTACAAGCTGATTCTCCGATATGTAGAACAACAGTGTTATCTGTAGTTGCGTCTGTCCTTGCCTGTGTGCGTGCCTGCTAGTAAGTGACCGCGT